AATGAAGCACAGACAGACATTCTTCTGGTATTCTGTGCTTTCTGCCAAGATCCATCTAACTGTAGAAAACAAATACAATGTAAATTAGTTTTGTCCATACAAATGCAAATTTGTTTTCTCCCATAGCACGTAATTTATTATTGATTTGTTTGACACCTACTTGTAAATTCATTTAATCATTTTTCTGTTCTTTTATGTGCAGTCATTCGATTCTTCTTTGAACTAATTTTAACATGTTTCTGATTACTTGTTAGTGAGTTAAAATCTTCAGCATGTGGTAAAATAATGCAAGATACATAAAAATGCTGTGGCATACAACCACTTCTATAAACAAAGGAAGGAAGTAATATGTAGTCATATTTATGTCTCCATATACAAATATATCTAGACGGAGCTCTGGGTAGCTGAGTGGCAGGAAGCTGTTCTGTAATCCTGAAGGCACTTAGTTCGAGGCTACCAGCTGCTCTGTGGAAAAAGGATGGACAATCACCTCTCATGCAATTAACTGCCTCCAAAAACACTCTGGAGGGTCAGCTATGGCTCAGCTCCTACTCTATGGTACACAGCAACAAACAACAACATACGTAAATATGTGTGGAGAAAAATAGGCAGTCTTCTCCGAGAAGATTTACAGCCTCTGAAAACCCACTCGTGGGTCAGCTATGAGTCAATTCCAACTCATTGGCATGTAACAACAATAATACATATATTAATATTTATATATTTATATTACATGTAAAGCTTCTGGAAGAATAAATATTTCATGATATTAAGAAAGCAGCTAGTAATACTTATCTCTTTGGGGCCAGAAGAACTAAACAGATGGGAAACAGAAATGAGATGAGGACTTCATGCCTTTTTACTTTTAAATTCTATAAATATATTTAAGTTCTTTTTCAAAAATGCGTGAGGATGAATTTAAACTGTTAAATCCGTTCTTTCTCCCCATGATATGATGAGTATTTGACTTGGCTTAAGTTCTATATCTCACTAGAACTTCTGTAACCGAAATGGGATAGAATTGAGACAACTGTGACTCCTGCTGACAAATTAATAATACGTGGTTAAAACCAAACCATGATGACTCGTGTGTGTGGGAGTAGGACTGTGCTCTGTAGAGTTGTCAGTTAGTCTTTGGAAGTAGGTCACCAAACTTTTCTTTTTTGGGAGGGTATATGTCTGGATGAACTTGAACCTCCAGTCTTTTGTGGTGGTGGTGGTGTTATGTGCCATCAAGTCGCTTGCGACTCATAGTGACCCTATGTACAAGAGCCCTAAACGCCGTTCTATCCTGTGCCAACCTCGTTGTCTCAAACACACTCATTCCCACCACTCCAATCACAGAATCGATCCATCTCATCAAGGGTCTTCCTCTTCTGCGCCGTCCCTCCACTCTCCCAAACATGATGTCCCTCTCCAAGGACAAGTCCCTCCTTGCAACACACCCAAAGTATGTCAGACGAAGCTTCAGAATCCTTGAATCTAAGGAGCATTCTGGCTTCACCCTCTCCTGTTCCTCTTCACCCTCTCCTAGGAGAACTTCTTCGTTTCCTAGCAGTCCATGGTATATTCAACACTCTTCTCCAGCACCACAGCTCAAAGGCATCAATTCGTTTTCTATCATCCCTATTCACTGTCCAACTCTCCGATGCATGACATATAATTGTGAAGACTATAGCCTGGATCAGGTGCACCTTAATCTCCAGCCTGACGTCGTTGCTCTTCAGTACTCTTGAGAGGTCCCTCACAACCGACTTTCCCAATGCAATTCATCTCTTGATTTCCTGGCTGCTGTTACCAAAAGTGTTGACTGTGGAGTCAAGTAAACTAAAACTGTTAACTGTCTCAATCTCTTCACCATCCATCCTGATGCTGCCAATTGGCCTAGTGGTGAGAATCTTTGTTTTCTTGATGTTGAACTTGAATCCATATTGAAGGCTGAAGTCCTTGACCCTCTGCAGCAAGTGCTTCAGGTCCTCCTCAGTTTCAGCAAACAGAGTTGTGTCATCTACATAATGCAGGTTGTTGATGACTCTTCCACCAATCCTGATTCTTCCTTGTACAGCCAATATTAACTGTATGCTATTGGTGATAACAAAATTAAAAGAAACGACGTAATGATTGAATGCACAATATAGAATTATTAACACAGGACCTTATTAGGATATATGTTTTAATTCTGTACCCAGACATTTAAGTAAAATACGGAAAGTTTAAAAGAAAGCAATAAAAATTAGCTAGAGAGTTGAAAAAAACAACCTTTTGGGGAAATGCTAGAGGAAGTTGTGAAAAAGGCAAGAACGGTTTGAATGCAAACATATATGGACATACCACCGAGATGTTTGACTAGAGCTATCCTGTATTTTCATGGAGCTGATGTCGGGAAATGGACGTAAACTAAGGTAAGAGGAATTTACAAAGTGGTGCCGCCCATTCTGCAGGTGGCACGGTTTGCGCCTGACTGCCCACTGGTGGTTTAACTGCGTGCTGCAGGAAGAGAGGCTTCCATAAAGATTCCCGTGCCATCGAGTCGGCTCCCACTCTTAGTAACCCTCAAGTCGGTCTCCTGGGTTGGTAAATATTTATGGGAGGGGACTATCCAGCCTTCTCTTTTAAAAGCAAACTGTATGGAGATGTTTGTCTTTTGGTTTTTTAATCCAACTAATCAAGTATTGACACATTATTAATGGGGATAATTATTTCTCTTTCTCAGAATGTTTACTAATGAGGCATTTTGTTCTTTGTTCTAATTGGCCTATCTCTCTATTTTACTCAGGTGTTGGGACAGGTAATGGAAGTGATCTGAAAATGGAGATAATAATGAAGAAAGAAATCATATTCTCTTGCTCTTTTTCCAAAAATTGTCAGGTAAGGAGAAAGCACATAAATGGAAAAATCTGTTGTTTTAGAGCTCCAAACCATAGTGGCATGATGAAATTCCCAGCCATCACTCACCAGAGCCCCACCCGTTACTCTCTGGTTACCTTCTATCTTCGTGTCACTGGGCTCTGAGACCAACAGAACTAAATTACCCTCATGGTTTAAAAAGAGGTTTGCACACATTTTCCAGGATGTATTTTTGATTCAGAATGTTGCTTTGCCTTTCTCTTTCCCACAAATAATGAGCACAGTCCTGCGGACCAACCAGGGTTCTAAATTCCCTTTTCTGATTATTTTTACTTGTATTCTTATTTGATCACTTTACTTTTTATACTATAAGGCTAATTCTTAAGGTTTAGTGTGCTTGAAAAATCAACCAGGAACAACTTGGAGAGATATCAGTTATTAATATTTGAAAAACCATTTCCTTATAGCCTGAAATATGCAGGCATTGTGGTGGTACAGAGGTTAAGCATTTGGCTGTGACTCTAAGGCCAGCAGTCCTAAACCACCCAGAGCGGGGAGGATGAGCCGTCTGGCTTCACAGCGGTGAGGAGTTAGTTCCCTGCCGTCCTGTTAGTTCCCTGAGGCCACTGTGAGTTGGGGCCACTCATCAGAGCACTGAACAAATGTTATATAACGTAACAGATAGTTCGCTGTCTTCAAGAAATACATCCTTTGTCTTGTGCTTGAACTCTCAAATAGCGGAGCTTATTTCCATCAGGAACTCGATCTGATGGAAGAAAAATATCATTCTATGTAAGGTGGGTTTCTTCCTGGCCCTTGAAAAATAAGATTAAAATTTTTGGCTTTTGTGTCTTTTGTTAATGGGTCTTTTTCCTTAGTATCTCAATTGGATTCTGTTTTCTGTACTTCTCTTGACGTGTCAAAATATTATCTGGCCCCGCTCAATGCTGACTTCCTCTGTGAGGCTGTGAGGAGCACTGGTATTGTAGTAATAGACAGTTGCTAACTGAAAGGATGAGAATTCAAACCTCCCAGCACCTCCACAGTAGAAAGACGTGGCGATCAGCTCCTAAAATGCAGACCCAACCAAACTCATCAAGTAGACTCCAACTCAGAGTGACACAGAGTAGAACTGCCCCATGGGCTTTCCCAGGCGGTCCTGACAGAAGCAGCCTGCCACGTGAGTCTTCTGTAGAGCAGCCTGTGGGCTTGAATTATTGACCTGTTGCTTAGAGGTCAGATCGTTAACCATTGCCCCACCAGGGCTTCATCCTGTAACGTTTGCAGCCTACACAGCCCTATGGGGTAGGTCTCTCATCACGTGAGGTCACTGTGAGATAAAATTTTACTTTAAAGTTTCTAATAACAAAAAGGGCTGAAATGAAGAGTACTTCAAAAACAAAGTCTGAGTGAAAGATAAGTGAAAATTTACCTCACTGTTAAGTCTGTCGTCATCAGCTAGGTATAACCGTTTTGAATTCCATGTGTTCACTCACAGATATATCATGATGCTGAAACAGACAGAGTAATAATTAATCTAATCAACTGTCCACCCCTCTATGATGATGTCAAAGTGAAGTTTTTTTCTTCTGCAGTAAGTAATTTCTGCCTTTTTCTTGGTTCTTGTCTAGTCTTTTAAATTATTTAGGTTTACAACTTCCTTTACTACAACTCTCAAAGGGAATTGATAGTCAACCTCCTAGTCGGAAGGGAAGAGAAAAAAAATGGTAAACTCATTTAGCTAAACAAACAACACGTATAATCTTTTTAAAGTTTTATTTTATTATTTTGTGTGTGTACAGTCAAATCAGATCTGACTGGTACAGGAGGAGATTGTCCCTCCTTCTCCAGCAGAGTATCTGGTGGATTTGAACCACGCACCCCTGGGACTGCAGTGCAGCTTCTTGCCACTAGGCCACCAGAGCTCCCTTCACACATATAATCGTGATTGTTGAACCTTTCTCTCACTTTTTCTAAATTTCATATAATTTACGGGATCCCTACGGGCATTTGGTTGCTAAATGCAAAGTCAGGATTTGAAACCTCCAACCTGAAGTTGTCAAGGATTTAATTTTACTTGGATCCACAGTCAACACTCATGGAAGTCAAGAAATTAAACCATATATTGTACTGGGCAAATCTGTTGTCATCCTGTTCCAGAAGATGAAAACATTCCTGTCTGCCTCTATAAAACTATTACAGTCTCAGAGGCAGGTCTGTTCTGTAGGGTCAGAATTATTTGATTTTTTTTTTTTACTGCACATCAGTGATCTATATATTTATTTTATATCATTAAGACATTTTCCCTCATAATTTTTAAAATACTTTAAAAGAGAGATTTTACTTTCCTAAGTTAAAATCCTCACCACTGGAACAATATGCAGCATCATACTAGATGGAGGAAAAAACTAACGGATTTCATTTTACTTGGGTCCACAATCAGCACCCATGGCACCAGCTTTCTAGAAATCAAAAGACATGTTGCACTCGGGAATCTGCTGTCAAGGACCTCTCCAAAGTTCCAAAGAGCTAAGGGGGCAGTTTAAAAATAAGATGCATCTGATTGTTCAGTCACCATTTATGCATCTAAAATCTGGACAGTGAATAAAGATGACCGAAAAACTGATGCCTTACAATTAGGTTGGCAAAGAATATTGAGTATCTCATGAACAAACACATCTGTCTCAGAGGAAGTTAGCCTAAAGTGTTGCTAAGAGGCAAGGATGATGAAACTTAGCCTCGCTTACCTTAGACATATTTTTCAGGTGGAACTAGTCCTTAGTTGGAGACATCATGCTGGGAGAACCAGATGGTTGGTGAAATAGAGGAGGGCCCTCAATGAGCTGGATTGATAAGGTTACTACCACTGTGGGCTTGAGCTTGACAGAGACCATGAGGCTAGTGCAGGATAGGAAAAGGTTCAGATCTGTTCACACTGTCACAATGAGTCATAATCAACACGAGGGCACCTGACAAGAATTGACTGTAGCTTATAAATGGTACTGAATATGAAAAATAAGAATGTTTCCTACTGTCATTGAAAGATACACCCTGGTTGTTGTTGTTGTTGTTGTTGTTATGTGCCATCGAGTCGCTTGCGGCCATAAACTCTGCTCTGTCCTGTGCCAATTGCACTGTCTCCGACACTCCCATCCCAATTATCCCAGTCACCGAATCAATCCACCTCATAGAGGGCCTTCCTCTCCTGCGCCGTCTCTCCACCCGCCCAAGCATGATGTCCCTCTCTAAGGACCGGTTTCTCCTCACAACATGTCCAAAGTATGTTAGACGGAGCCTCAGAATCCTTGCCTCCAAGGAGTCACCCGGTTT